TGCACTTCACCAAGTTGCTTCTTGTAAGGAACAACAGAAACCTATTTTGGCTATAGAGAAGACCTCAGAAGCTATGTGAAATAAAACAGTATAATCATTATTTTAAGATGACACTGTGTTGCTTCATGAAGCAGTTTTGAAAGGAATGCTTTGTCAAAGCAAAACACCCATTTGTGTCTTGCCAGAGTACTTTTGCTGGTTGCTATTTCCCATAGTTGATATACAATATAATGCAACAGGTACTCAAGGTGTGTCTTCCCTTAAGTAGGCTTTTTTTTTTTCTAAAGAGAATGCTTATGATGAAAGAAACACTTTTGAACTTGACTGCATTTCCATGGTAGACCACATGTTTGCATGAATTGCATGTTTGCATGAATTACATAGGATTTCAAAATTATATCCCCAATGCTAAAAGCCATGGATTATCTCCTTGTAAGACTGGAGGATATCATTGAGGACTCCAGGCCTAAACATATCAGTTCTGGACTCCAGAAAATAGTTTATCTATCATTTTAGATAAATCATATTACCTTCCACTTCTCTGTGGAAGTAAGAATGTATCAGGTGTTTCACTGAAATTCTTGTCCTAATGCTTAATCCTAGGCTGAGTTGAAAAGAATTGAGGTCCATTGAGTCATAAAAGATATCAATTTAGATGCCTCACATATGAAATATGTGTACCATTATTATTTGGTTTCATCTCCTATTCTTTTGTAATTGTTTTGCTGATAGATAATTCCTACAAAAGCAGGTAGCTGGGAAGTCATATATGGATTGTTAAATCCTGGTTGAAGTGAGATAATATGTGCAATTCTTTAATCATAGCATAGAGATTTAAATACACAAAGAAAAGTGTTGGAAGGTCAATCGCAATCTCAAGGAGACCGTAGAAACCATAGAGAAGATTTTTATTTTTTTCAGAAAGCGGGCAAGTTCTTTGATATCAGTTCTGAAATATTTATAATCCTATTAACACTGGTGATAGAAATGGGAAATCATTTGTAATCCATGCAACGTGTTTTCTGCTACTGAACTACAACCCAACTTTTAAACTCTATCATATAGTTTCCTACCTTTCCAAGAGCTATAATGGCACAGTGGCTAGAATGCAGTATTGCAGGCTAACTCTGCATTCTCACTGCCAGGAATTCGATGCTGACCAGCTCAAAGTTGACTCAGTCTTCCATCCTTCCCAGGCTAGTAAAATGAGAACCCAGATTATTGGGAGAAATCTTCTGACTCTATTTACTGCTTAGATGGGGCTGTAAAGCGCTATGAAGCAGTATATAAGTCTAAGTGCTATTTCGATTGCAATCTCAAACATTCTCTTTGAAACATCAACCTGAGGGGAAATAATTTCCTTAGGAAATTGCGTTATCATTGTGTATCGGTCAAATGCACTGCAGTATCACTCTATTGGATCATGATTACCCAAGCTAATCAAAGTTAGTTTCTAACTAGCAGGATTTTTCCATCACAGAACTAAAAAAAAATAAAGATAGCAATAAGTATAAAATATGTCCTTGGAAGTCTCTGCTTTAATTCTCATATCAGTTTTCAACTGATGAAGTGGTTTCTCAGGTTTAGTGTTTCCCTTCTCACAAAAAAGGATAATAATCCTGGTTTAATGTACAGGGCTTTTGTAATGATTACTTAGATAATCTACTTGTTGGCAGACCTTAAACTCCTCAAATATCAATATTTTGTAATCCCAAGCATTTGCTCTGACGTATATTAAAAAAATTGATGCTTTCCATGTAATAGAAAATAAGTATGTAAATTCCTTCCTGGGTTGTGTTTGTAGAACACAGGCATGGATGCTATCATGAGTAAGCTACAAGGTATGAGAGTTAATTGATTACATTTCTTCTGTGAGGCACTAAGCTCTGAATGAAAGAGACCATTTGCATTTACAGTCAGGAAGTAAAATAATTTTAGATCTAGATTTGATGTTTCACTGATCTCATCGTTCCTGAAATGGTTGTCTATATTAGTCTGCATATTTCTGATTCTTTTAAACCAGTGTACCAACATTTGTAGCATGCCTCTTAACTCCTTATTAGGACTTGAATGTCTACTCTGGAGTCCTGCCATCTTGGCACCACTTTGTTTCTACTAGATGTTATGTAATTATGAGGCTCTGGGAACAAAGTAACCTTTGCATTGTAAAGAAAACAGATATAAGCACAGATAGTCCTCAGTTTGTTTATTTATTAGGCTTGTTTGCTGCTTGTCTCACCTAGGAATATTGTGTTTCCCTGAAAATAAGACCCTGTCTTATATTTTTTTTGCCACCAAAAAAGGCACCAGGTCTAATTTGGGGGGATTGTCATCCACTGACTAGCCTCACCCTGCTTCCTTTTCACTGTCATAGGTCTTCTGGAACTTCTTCCGCGGCAATCAAGGCTTTCCTGAAGGCCTCTGCAGCGGATAACAGCTCTGGATCAATCTGGAGCTTTGTTATCAGCTACAGAGGCCTTCAGGAAAGCCTTGCCAGCTGCAAAAGAAATGGGCTGGCAAGGCAGGTATTGGAATGTGCAAGGCCTGACTAGAAATATCCAAAGGTAAGTAGTAGGGCAGCTCCACATTCCCATCCCCACCTTAGCTTAATTTTTACCGATGTACTCCGAAGTGAGTGGGATTTTAATTAGGGCTTATTTTGGTCTTATATTGGTTGCATGTGTAAAAATCAAGCTAGGGCTTACTTTCAGGGTAGGTTGCATTTTTGGCTAAACAGGGTAATCATTCATTGAACAAGTATTCAAAGTTACAACAACATTGAAAAAAAGTAATTTACAACAGATCCTCACACCATCACAGAATGCCCACAGTCACGTGATCAAAATTTGGGTGCTTGGCAATGTATTTTTAACCATTGCAGCATTCCAGACATTTGATTCTATTGTGACCTTCCCAGCCAGCTTTGGAGAATCAAAATCAATGTGGTTTAATGACCACATGCTTCACTTAACAACTGCAATGCTTCACTTAACAACCATGTCAAAAAGAGTCATAAATCTGGGCGTAGCTTGTGCCCCTCCTAGTTGTGGTTGAGATTTATTGTATCTGTTCTCTAGCTGTTCTCTAGCTGGTGAAATAAAAAGAGTTGTTCATTCGTAGTTCTATGTATATATTTTGGTTTATCCAATTAAGGCAGATTAAACTGAGGCATCAGGCTATGGAAAGTTGAAGTGGATTGCATTGGAGTGGATAATTGATTTGACTAATGTTGGATTAGTTCAAGTATAGATGTCAGCTCCCCACCCATAACAGCAGCACAGGAAACAGACTCTGTTTTCAACAGCTTCTGCTTTGCTTTGTTATAAAAATATATAACCTCTGAATATTATATTAAGTCTTTATCTCACAGATGTCATCAAATTGGATAATCCATCAAAGCACAGTGAAACACCATATAAAGGTTTTGTTACTATGTAAATACCTTATCCCAGTTCCTTCAAAACATTTCTAATAAATGATGACCTTAGCTGTGGGAAGAATAAAAATAAAAATAAAGTAGATAATGAGTGACATTGCTCCATCTCTGGAAATTGTATTTCTTTTAGGGCTAGATAGATTAGGGAATATTACTTTTCAGAATTCAGTATGCTTCCAAAACAAAAAGTAATGCTTAAATGAGAGCAAACTCGAGATTACTTACATATGCAACTGACTCTGTTTTATACTCAGCTTTGTCACTTTAGTGCACACCTAATTATAAAATTCATAAATCAGGGACCATGTTGCTTAACTTTTTAAGAAATATATAAAAGTTATCTGCTAACATGGATGCATCTTAACCAATAGGAGTAGACCGCCAAGGTCCCTTCCAACTCTGTTATTATGATATGGGGAATTGATAAAAAGGGGGTCTTTTTATTTATTTTTAAATCCATTCTACCCCATTTTCACATAAGTTGGAATAAACATGCTGTTTATCTGTTGTTTGTTAGTTGTTATTGGCAATGACCATGCTAGCTTTGAATTCTGGGAGTAAGATTACACGCATCTAGAGGTGCTAAAGTTGAGAACTGCTGATAGGCAATCTAACTTTCTGATCATTTGCCTTGTAATCTCATGCTCTTTCTTTGCCATTATTTTTCCTTTAATAGCATGTGTATATGTATATGAATAATGTTACAGAATTAGGAAACCAACCCCATTTTAATTTGCTCGAATGGGTAGGTTCTGGGTATTAATCTGAAAGAATAGATCAATTCACCCAGTGTTATCTATCTGGTATTACCAGTTCTACCCAGAAAGCATTAGGCAATCCATTCAAGATTTTTCAGAATCTTCCTTATGCAACTAGAAGTTGCAGTCATGAACTGGTCTTGACATGCTCCCTGAAAGAACTGGTTTATGGAGGTACATTTTGATGTCCTTTTATGGGCAACTTTAAAAATCATAAACCCAGCTTCCATGAAACCCTAGGTTTCTCCCTCCCAAACCCTGGGAGGAGCACAAAAATGATCTTATTTCACAGTATGCTAGAAACGGTAAGGTCAGGATGGTTTTCTTTCTGAAACAACCCTTTGTAATAATTCCTAGGAAAATAAAAGGGTTATTTGCTTTGGCTGTTGAGATGCTGCATTCTCCCTAAGGTCAATTATGTTAATAATTATTTGAAAGACAGCTTAGAAAACCCTTCTTTGTTGGAAGTTAGATGGCTGTTTTCAGAAATGTTGCATTTTCCTCCTACATTGTAGATCTTGCTTTCAATACATCTAAATGACCTTCAGGTTATCCACCTAACTATAACATTCCCTAATTACATGTGTAGGATATTTTAAGTGTAAAGAATCACTAGTATAAGGAGATGCTCCATCTACTAAGCAAGGCATTTGATTTGTGCAACAAATCCCTATGAAGCCTGTGTTTGGGCAGTAGTTCCTCACCAATCTCCTGGGAAAGAATAATAAACTTTTCTCCTTCCAATGCCACTTGGAAGCAGCAAAAAGAAAGAAAGATGACAATCAAAAAGGTTACTACAGAGAAACTGTTTTTTGTTCTTTGGGTATATAGAGGCCCAGCCATTATTAAGGTACCTCTAGTGGAAAGTTCTTAGTTTCGTGTATGCAGAATTAGTTTCATCCATAGTTCAATGGTCTTTACCACATATCAGCATTTATTTCATTATAAAATAGCCCTACCTCCAGAACTTCTCAATATTTTACCAACTTTTCCCTTTTGAATATACTTGAAAATTTAACCATGACTAGGAAAGTTTTGGACAAGTAATACACCTCTTACTTTTCTATAGATATTCTAGTCATAAATAACTTGCCAGATACTCTTTTAATGATACAACTATGCAGCATTTGCTCATGGAATGAGGAAAGTTCTTTGATAGTCAAACTTAGATACTCCAATTACTGGGAACCAGAATAAATTCATGATACTATTATTTATTTTGAGGTTTTAAAGAAGCATGATACAACAAGAAGATGGAGAATTATTTGCACTCATATTAAATTACATGCAGATGAAAATTGAGAAAAAAATTCAGAATCCCCAAGACTGTATATAGAACTCTTTTCATTAAATAGTTAAATCTGTATATGATTTGCAGATAAGTAAATTTTCCTTCACATTGGAAATCATGCCTGCCGTTTGATCTCAGTAGTATGTGTAGAGACTACCTCTCCGTCCACAGTCTCTTGCACAATTTTTTTCAGGTTTGGATTGCTTGATCTGTGTTCTGGAAGAAATTTGGTTATGTATTAGCAGAGAAGTAGCATTATACAATTAATTTTGTAAATATGCTTGAGACTAAGCTATGGTGTGATGGGATTAATATACAGTTGGGTACTTCCCCAGTTATAGAAATTTAACACAAAATGCAGACACAAACCTGAATGTCTTGAATAGATTGAAAATGTAACACCTTTGCATCTTATGATCATAATACTGTAGGATGCATGTAATTGTGAGAACTAGTTTACCCAATTGTGAACATAGATTGCTAATGATAATATGCTATAAGAATATAAGATAATATAATGCTATAAAAAGAACCATGATGGATTGATGAAAAAACATATTCATCAACATCCTGTTTCCACAGTGGCTTAACAGTTACTGTGAGATTACTTTTAGAAATTATTTTAAGCTTGCAAGTTTCTATAATGTAACCTTACAATAAAGATAGAGTTAATATTCATTCTTATGCTTCTAATTGGACTACTTTAAAGGTTAACGTCAGTCTTGCAAGTCTGAAACTATTTCCCCCTTCTTTTCTTTTACTCTCCAGAAAATTAGGAAAGGTCTCTCAAAGGTGCTTTTTCAAGAGCCACTTGGACAAGAGGCAAAGTCCATTTGCCTCTTGAAAAAGCACCTTTGGGACAACCATGACCTGGATGATTGAGAATCTCCATAGATATTTAGGGAATGTCTCTTTTACATGATGGTTGTCTAGTCAGCAGTTCGTCCTCCTGTCTCCCAAACTCATTCCCACATACCATCACATTTGGTTTCCAGCAACAGCTTGCTACTTTTGATCATGAAATAGCTATATTCATCATGATTGGCACCTGATGATAGCTTTAATCTTATGTTCATTAATCTTATATTCATGTACTAATCCTCCTCTAAAACTCTATGAGGTTTTTCCTACAAAAATAGAATCTAGATTATATTTACCTCCAAAGCTTGTGCCGGTTTTCCTGTGAAGTAATAAAAGCAATATCAGTAAAAGTGGTCTGTGCAAATCTTTTCCATGTCTCTTTTAAGATTGTTCAAAGAACCTTTTTGCTTCAAATCCAAAGTACTGCAAAGACTTAATTTCTTACCCTTAATAATTGCATTAAAATCCTCTCCATGCTGGAGATTGCTTCTATGCTATTTCTAAAATGAATGCTAATTCTAAAATGATTCTTAATAGAAAAAAAAAGAAATCCCTTTAAAAGAAATAGATTCAATGTGACAGGAAGAAAGCTTTAAAATCATATGAGAACTGTCTCATCATGCCAAAATCCTGTGATAGAACAGGATTTGGGCAATTCTTTGGGAGTTTGGTCATTAAACAAGGGTCTATGAAAAAATGTGGTCCTTCAGAATGCATTTTACTTGGAAAGGACAGCATTTGCCCACCTATGTATTTTGATGCAAATTGCTTTCAGAATTGTTTCTTCACAAGTTTAAAATTTTAGATTATATGTTTGTTCTTTCCCTTTTCTACCTAAGATTGACTGTGTCTTACCCATCAACATCACCATCCAGAAGCTGACGATAAGTAGAAATTTCCCTCTCCAGACGTGTTTTTATTCCAAAGAGGACCTTGTACTGATTATTTTGACATTTGATATCATGTCGAAACTTGCTGAGCTCTTCTTCACATTTTTTGATGAGGTTTTGGATACTTTGAAGCTGGAAAGTATAGCGAGCCTTGGTTTCTGCCATATTGTTTTCTAGGGCAAATTTCTGAAATTACAAAACATGCCATCAAATGTTATGTTTTCAGGGTTATGTGTTCTGCATCGCAGAAACCAAGAAATACCCTTATTTGCTGGATATGAAATGAAATGAAAGCTTTTGTCTGTAAGCAGAGTTGAAATAATATATTTATATTTTGTCTATAAGTTTACTATTATTTATGCGGAGTGGAGAAATATTTACTTTTCCCTTCCTATCCTGGCTTCCTTTCCTCTCTATTTTAAATCTAAAAAGTAAAACGCTTGAAGCAATAACTAGTCTTTTTAAACTGCCATGTTAATTAGTGTTGGTATGATTTAATCATTGTCTGATTGCACAGTTTTTCTGCATATGGAGAATGATAACATTTTATTCCCCCCCCACCCCCCCGCCAATGTTACTGGCCTATAGTTGCCCCAGGCCAGTATCTGGAATATTTTATCAGTCCCTTCATGACAGTTTAGTTTCTCAGGAGGGATAAATGTATAGTAAGAAAACTGAAAGTAACAATCTATAGTACCGTGTACAGAACCCCTTTTACTTTCCTGCTACTTAATCACACCACCGTATTTTGTGCATTTAATCCAGAAAGGCAAATTCCTATTTTTCTACAATATCTCTTTCAGGGAGACTGAAACCTCAGAGCAGATCTTTCTTTAAAATCCTATGATTTTAAAAGGACTTGGGGCTCTTTAAAACCTTATATCCATTCAGCTGTAAAATCTTTATAGCAGAAATCTGAATCCTATAATAGTAGAAGCATTTCAAATGAGACTTCTGCTGGTCATGCAACAATGAAATGGTAGAGAAAGTAAAAAGCACATCTCGGACTTTCTTGCTTCTAGATCTACCAGACTCCTTAAAAATGTACTATGCTATTCAAAGGTCTATTTCAGCAAATGAGAATGAATGGGTGGAGGCTGGCAATACAGCTTACTCATTCTTGTTGAAATAGACCTCCTCTATGCTTTAGCATTGCTGGATAGGGAAGGGGTCACCCGAAATAAGTTTCCCAGAAGGCAATTTGCACACCTATTTTGGAACTTATATTTTTATAAAGATAAAAATAATGCTACAGTTCAGAATCTTGGGAGCTGTGAATTATCTATCCTAGAGTGGTACAGAGACCCTGCCTTGGTACCATAACACTGCATTATTCAGTTAATTGTATTATCCATTAAGATGATAGATTAGCTCTAAAAGTGCTATTGATTAATTAACTGATTGATTGATGACATTTATTTGACTTTCCATCTCACCAGAACCCTCAAGAGACAATGTTTATTTATTTGTGTATTTATTTATTTGCTATACTGATATTCTTTCTTACATTCAGTAGGATATATAGTATATATCCCCCTTTCCCCCCTATAGTAACAATCTATGATAGGTATAGCAGTAACAAAATAGTAGGTTGGATTGAGAGAAAATGACCAGCTAAAGTCATTGAGTGAACTTCCATGGCAGCTGACAGTGCACCTGTTTATATCAAATGCTGAGACAAATATAGGAAGGCTTTCATTTGTGTGTGTTATTTCCGAACATCTAAAGGCATCTGCTGGCTGTAAACTGTTTGATGGTTTTTAATCTATTATACAAATCATTTTTAGTTGCCTTGTAATTAAAAGAAAAAAGGCATATCACCTGGATATAAATGATCCAACTGAAGGTATTCATATGGATCCACCCAGGCAATTGTAATGCCTTTGATTGAAAAATACCAGCTCTCTTCCCCCCTGTCTACAGGTTCCCAGAAAAATCAACCATAAATGCTTTATGGAAAATCAAAATACAATATGGATGGACGGATTAAGTTTACAACAATGTTTACCAAAGTGGTGTTTTCAAACATATTGGATTACAACTTCCAAAATGGCCACTATGGACAAATATTATGATATTGTACAAATATTGTACTCAACATATCTGGTAGACATCATGTTTGAATTAGAAGATTACAAAAGAATAATCCTATCTAAGGGTATTACCTTATTTAGTTCTGTCTGGAAATCAATTGAATTAGAAGATTACAAAATAATAATCCTATCTAAGGGTATTACCTTATTTAGTTCTGTCTGGAAATCAATTTCCAGGGTTTGCAGTGTGCGATTCAGCTCACAGATTTCTTTCTGGCTGTTTTGTAGTTCTTCCTGGTTGTGTTGTCCCTCTGAAGATTCATTTCCAATCTGTGTGAACATAAAAAAAAAAGGAAATGAAGGAATTATTTAAACCTAGCCAAAAATGAAATTCCATACACAGTTTTATATCAAGACACTGAATGCATAATTTCTATGCTATGAGTGATGGCAGCACTCCTATTGAGACACTCCATCACAGGAGTTCTTACAAGATGTGTCCTTTTAAATGAAAGTGTGAGAATTCAGAGAGGTTGCCCACTGCCACAGAAATTGTTTGTACACTTCTGGGAATAATTTCAGTTTCATATGTGTAGGGTCACCATATTCCACCCATAAGAAATTTGCCTCAAATCTTTTCTGGTAAATCTTGAAAGCAAACTGCCTTTCAACAACTTCAAGGAGAACTTAGTAGTTAAAAGGCAGAACAATTTCTCAGTAACATAATAGTTTTTATGCAATATACACATGGAATATATGAAAATTGGACACCGGCATATTGATACTTGCTAGCATTAAATGAAGATATAGAGGAAATTTTAAATGTTAGGAAGATCAGATGTCATGTGGGAGGGCTTTCATTTAGATCAAGAAGTGGAGTTTCTGGATATCTTATCAGACATCTTGTTTGTGTATTTCAATGGGTGTGAAACCTTTGCACCTTGAGACCATTCCTCCTGTAAGGAGCTATAGTATCAAAGTTATAACCATACATGATTTCTTTATCTTGTTTTCTGAAAGGATACCTGTTGCTGGAACCACGAATCAAGACTTCGGCGGTTTTTTTCTATTATAGCTTCATAATCCGCTCTTATCCCCTCCAGGATCTTTGATAAATCTTCTTGTGGAGTTTTGTTCACCTTCACATTCACTTTAAAGTCTTTGGGTGAGCCATGTGTCTGCATATTCTGTATATGAAAAAATGAAGAAAAACCTCAGCAAACCCTCTTCAAAATATGTATAATAAAAGCATTCTGCTATCTGAGGCAAACAGCAAATAATTCAGCTTGCTACACTGTGTTCCAAAGACCACTGGGGCAAGGCTTCAAACATTGCATATTTACAAAAATATTTTGTGATATCAGAAGTTTATTTTTTCCCAATCCTAACGGAAATTGGTTCTTTTTCTTACATCTGCTATATCCTGGATTTGCATTTGTGATCTATCCTACCCCATTCTTGTTTTCTGATTGGAGTATTTAACCTCACCAGGATTTCTTCTTTGTAATTGTTGCTCTAATTATTTGTATTCATGTACTCTAAAGTAAGGTTTCCTACACTGTGAAGTGTACCTCTCTTCTGGAGGTGCAATCAGAATACAGAGGATATACAAAGAATATAGATAGTCCCCAATTTATGATCAGTCACTTGGTAACCATCTGAAGTTTCAACAGACCTTCCCACTACTTATGACTCAAGTTCAAAGTTGCAATAACTGCCTCCCCTACAGTCACATGATTACATTTTAGGTGCTTGCAACTGGCCCACATTTATGGGCATTTGTAGTGTCCTCTGGTCACATGACTGTGGTTTACAATATCTTTTGCCAAAAACCAGTGCTTACTTCTGGTTTCTGGCAAAAAATAAAATAAAACCCATTGCAGACAATGAATTTGCTTTACAACTGGCACATTTGCTTTACAATATCTGCATTTACTTTATGACCATGCATTCACTTTACAATCAGAAGAAAGGTCATAAAATCAGGCGCAGTCTCATGAGGCCGCATTTGACTTACAGCTGTAACTCTGGGCTAAGTTATGATCAAAAGTTTAGGGCAGTGGTTCTCAACCTGTGGGTCATGACCCCTTTGGGGGTTGAACGACCCTTTCACAGGGGTTGCCTAAGACCATCGTAAAACACATATTTTCGATGGTCTTAGGAACCGAGCCATAATTTCATGGTTGGGGGTCACTACAACATGAGGAACTGTATTGAAAGGTCGCAGCATTAGGAAGGTTGAGAACCACTGGTCTAGGGCACCTGTATTTTAGTTGTTCATTGCTATAATAAATCCACCTTTTCCAAAGTTGTTTTATCTGTTCATTTTAATTTTGGATTTTAGGGGAGGTGTATACATTGAGATTATACTAAAGGGGTTGTGATGGCAAAAAGTTTAAGAACTCAAAACTTAACCCTGGAAACTGCCTTAATTAAAAAGATAGAAATATGCTTTACACAAATCTTGACACACAGTTCTTTTAAAAGTCAAATAATATTTCTCCTTTAAGGAAAAATATATAGTTGCAGGCATGCTCCAGGTTATATTGGCATGATACAGTTTATTGGTGGAAACTTGGAAGGTCTCAAGGATATGACATGCTTGCCTCTTCCACTTTGTTTTACTGATTTATACTCTGCCAGAGATTAATCAATTTCAGGGTCTGAAATGTAACTACTGTTGTTAAACTGAAACTTGTTCCTCCGATTTCTTAGAGGGCCCTAATTAAGTATGAAAAGAAAATATTATATTGACCTGTTTCTTTGTGAATACTGGAGCACCCTATCCAATAATACAAGAAAAACCTGTGTAAACTCTAGAAATTCTTCTAAGTTTCTATTGTCAGGATTTTTGGCACTGTAAGTCTGGTATTCTGAGAAGGCACCAACTTGGAGAAGGCTGCAGTACTTCAAACACCATTTAATAGGAAGTGTTTCTCCAACTTTATTTCTCTTTCTGTGATTTTTTGTAGAGTTTTAAGATGAAAATGCTATCTGCAATCCATAATATGAATTAAGAGAAAGACCAATGGGGAATTTTCTTCCAAAATCAGAATGTTGAGATGATATGACTCAGTGATCTACTGTCTATAGTAGCCATTGCCACCTGCTTCCTGGAATATACTGTCCCATCTCAGTAAAGCACAAAGGCTTCCCAAGGAGCTAATAAGGTACAATTAATAAAATTAAGCATGGAAAACTTTATTTGATAGGCTGGCAAATAAACAGTGGGGATGACAGTGGAAAAGACAGATGATTTTTGAGCCAGGGTGGTTCAGCATAAACTCACAGCTATGTCTCTGGGTTATACTCCTGCCTATTAAAAAGTAATTAAGTAAATCCAGGTTATTAGCCTGGAGAAAGATCAGAACAAACTATTCCAGATCTCTGGCTGGTTAAACAGGATTCTGATCATTTAAAAGTGACATAAGACTTCCATTATGTATGTAGACGGTGCAGAGAGATCTCAGAGGCAGCGCAATATATAGTGATATAAGATGTAGACAAGAATAGCATACTCTGAATAACACAACTAAATGACTGTCATTGTATACAGGAGCATCTGACAGTGTATGAGTTAGACCCTCCCAAGTCCAGATGGGAGGTTCTACAGAAGGTTGTAGAGAATAACAGGGCTAAGATCCTGTGGGATTTTCAAGTCCAGATGGACAGGCTGGTACTGGCCAATCAATTAGACATTTTGGTACTAGACAGAAGATAGTGGTGTTCATAGAGATAGCAATGCCAAGTGACAGCAACACTAGGAAGAAGGAGTACAAGAAGCTGGAGAAATACCAAAGACTGAAGGAGGAATAGACAGGATGTAAAGTAAAGACTCAGTGGTGGTTGGCGCACTTGGGGCTGTGATTCTTAAACTGGGAGAGTGGCTCCAACAGATCCCAAGAACAACAGCAAAACTTTGTCCAGAAAAGTGCAATGTTATGAACAACTAAGATACTATACAGAAATCTCAAACTCCCGGAACTCTGCTAGATGACCTGAGACTGAGGAAGACATACTTGCCTCTTAAGTTGACCAGTTGACTAAATTTAGCTCAAGAAGAAAGAAATTGACTCAGGCTTAACTAAGGATGGAAATGTTTCCTTTCTATTCCCTAATAACCCCTCACTGAGATAAGGAAATCAATTTTAAACTTCCTCTATTTTGATTAATTATTTTGCAAAAGATATTTAAATGCAAATTTGCTTAGCCTTTTATAGTTTCAGACTTCTTGTGAGTGAGTAGAATATTTGCTGCTTATTTTTAGTTCAAACGAGATAGTGTATTTAGACAGTCAGCCAAATATTTAGACTGAATTTGGCACATATATTCACCTATCAAGTCCTTCCCAAGGTGATGTTGTTTGATAGCGTTAAAGGTATTGTTTCAGGATGTAAGTTGTTCCAAGCAAAACTACCTTTTGCAATTGATGGTGATTTTATCAGTACATTTGGTATTCAAATAGTATTCCACATATTTTGGGATTGCACCAAAGCACATTGGTACCAGAGTACTTTAGCTTCTTTATTTTCTATTACTTTGTCTATTTTGTGGCCCAATTCTTTCTTGCTTTCAGGGAAATGGTATTTCTTGCAGATCTTCCAATGCATCATTGTTGCTACTTTGTCATACTGTTATTTGTAATCAGGGGTGGGATTCTACCAGTTCGCACTTATTCACTAGAACCAGTTGTTAACATTCTAAGCAGTTCAGAGAACCGGTTGTTAGAAGAAATTACTGGCCTAATCCTGTAAGGAAGGTAACAAGGAAACATTCTGGTGTTGCTTACAGAAACTGCCTCTCCGTTAACCCTTATTACATTCCTGGCAGGACTAGACTTCCTGTCTCAGGAACTTCTCTGGAGTTCTTTTCCTTCCTCTGCTGGTACTTTACTTGTGTGGAGTGACCATTCAAAGTTACAATGGCACTGAAAAAAGTGACTTATGACCATTTTTCACAGTTATGACTGTTGCAGCATCCCTACAGTCATGAGAGGCCAGGTGAGGAGATGCGTGCCTTGATGTGAGTGATATTGAGTTGGCCACGCCCAGCCAATAACATGACCACCAAGCCACGCCCACCAACTAAGCCACACCCACAGAACCGGTTGTTAAAAAATTTGAATCTCAGCCCTGTTTGTAATCAAACTTGCAGCAGTTAACTAGGTGGTCCGTTGTTTTCTTCAACATTTTTGCAGAGATGGCATTTGCTTTCTATTACCGTCTTCTCAGTTCTGGCTTTGTGTGAATTTGCTGTTAATCTTAATCGTCTGCAGCCAGAATTTGCCCCTCTCTTAGTCTTATTATTTCCTTGCCCTGCTATTTTTTTTAATGTATTAGCCATGTACTTTGCCTCATCATGACTCTTTTTTTTCATTTGGTCTTTCTTATAGGCCATTTTGGCTCTCCAGTGCTCAGTAAGCCTTTATGATATACTAGCTTCAGTGTATCTTTTTCAGTTAGTCTTCAATGCCCTTTTTTCTTCTTCAACTGTCTGATCTACTTGCAACAATCCATGCTGATCTATGCTCCTTGGTAAATAGACTATATCAATGTTGCTGCATGGGTGAAAGACATTTCATTATTTTACAGGTTTTTCTATTTAGGGTTTTAGTCCAGTTCACTATTCCATGTGTATTAATGACTGGAATTGCCCAGATATTGTCTTGATTGTGTTCCTCTACTGATATTGAACTTTAAGATCTTCACTCTCATGATGTATTCACTTCTAACATTCTTCTTGACTTCAGTATGCTTCATGTTCCCAGCTTGAAGGATGCCCAGGCATTTATAGTGATTGTGATCATTGAGACTCTTGATATCATTTCCACACGGCATCTTGATTTCTTTTATTTCACTATTTATTCATTAATGGTGAAGGTGATACATTCCAGTCCAAATTTCATTGCAATATCTTAGCAGTATATACGGACAATGTTGAGCAGTGATTCTATTTTAGATGGTGTTTTTCCATAGAGCTTCAGATTGTTCATATAAAGTAGATGGAATAGTCTATAAGATGTTTTTGATAGTCATTGCCTGATTTATTCAATATTGTTGACAGAGTAATCTGTGCAATGACAATAGTATTAATGAGAATGAAGGTTTGAGCAGACTTCTTCACTAGTGCACATGAGGGAATGCAAATATCTGCCATTCTGAGATTATTGCATAGGTGATTTTTTTTTTAATATGTCAGTGAATTTTAATGTTCTGGGTAGAGGGTCCTCAAACAGCAAAACACAGAACAGGAAGTCAGATCAACAATCAGCACTTAGCACACACTTTTGCACAATGCAATTTGAAAGGTGTGAACATTGGCCCATCTGAAGGCATCTGCAAATTCTGTTTACCCATCAACCCCTTTGCAGTATAGGTATGTGGCAATGGCTAAGGGCAACTGTAGGCAACTCTAAATAAGCCTTGAGTCTCTCTGAAAGATTCTTCTCTTGATATTAACCTCTCCCAATGTGTTCATTATTAACCAGCAACTCTGTCTTCTATTGTGGCATTGATCTTTGCACAAACCTTTTGGTGTTTTCTATTAATTTGTTATTTCTAGGCACCTGATTATGTACTTGTAACAGTGATTCAGATGGCTTCTTGTAATAAATTCAAGCTACATTCAAGCTGGTCTTTTTTTCCTTCTTCTTTTTGCAGTTTTCTAAAATCATTTTGTCAATTAAGGCCTGTTAGAGTAGTGATTATCACATCTCAATCTGAGAAACATGCACCACTTAGTTGATTAGGATGTAAAGACATCCTGAAGACACATAAATTCTACATTTGAGGACTGCTTTATACATGGTAGTTTTGAGTCCTAAACCCTGTAGTAACTGTTTACCTTTGTAATTAAAGACTTTTCTAGCATCTATAATGAAAAAACCGTGACTCTTCGTAAGCAAGCTTTCTAGTTCAGGTATGGGTTTGAAGTTTGATTAATATATCTCTACAGCAATGTTTCTCAATCTCAGCAATTTTAAAATGCATGCTCTTCAAATCCTAGAATTCCTCAGTTAGTCATCCTTGGAGGAGACTATTAAAACTAATCAGGTTTAAATTAGGGATAATTTAGCTGTCCTGTTAATTTTATGGATCTATTCTACACACAGCTAAATTTGGATCTGAGTCAGGCTGTTTGTTTTCAAGGGTGAGGTTTCAAAAATGTCAGACAAAAAATTAAAGAGAAGGGATGACATGAAGGTATGTGATTTGGCGCACAAAGAGACATTAACTAGAGATGCCTGTGATGGTGAGAATGACGCACATACCAACCACATGCAGAGTCATTGTGCCAGGCCTTGTACAAGCAAGGCAATTGGATGAGAAGATCTGAAACAGAGAGAGCGTAGGATGCAAGAATGTACTTCTTTCTGCTGGATGTATTTCTGTTTGTGAAAGAATTACTAAGGTTAGCCTAGAAGTATGTTGTATTAATTACTTGATGCACAGTTAAGTCATCTTTTGGAAGTCCTGAATACTTATTGAAATAGAATTTGAATATTCTTTTTTGGGAGAAGGAAGATTTCCTCTTCTCAATCTGAAAATGTTCCTTTTATTTAGGTTGTCCATTTTACAAAAATGTATGTTTCTATCCAGAAAAAATGTAAAGGTTCTATATAATTACCAAAGGAGCAGCTGGATGAAAACACCTAATTACTATGTAAACAATCTAATTATGAGGCACGCTAAACTGGTTTGGTGAAGTTCTCAGCATTGCAGTATCTTCCCAACTACTACCTCAGGAAATGAAGCTATAATCAGTGAGTTTTCAGAATGCCCCCAAATCCAGAGGCGTTGTCATAATGAGAGGAACCAACAACAATCTTTTAGAAATATTTCTGAAGCACTAAATAGCACCAGCTCTTGAAACACTATATCTTACTTATTTTCTGATTTTCATGGTGTTCCCTTTGGAAGTTAGTTGTGGGATTTAGCATTAGTGTATCAACGGGACAACTGGAGTATTTCATCTGTGGTGGTTTATATCGGGAACTGTTCCATTTGGAAGAAATGGTTAATCCTCATCCAGTAAAGGGGCACTGACATTAATTTTAAAAGTTTGGCATTTAGATGAGGACTACAAAACAGTATGAGTTAGCTATAGTACATTTTTGAAATATGCAACAATGATCTCTTGAAAATAAAAGTGCCAAGAGCACTGTGTGTGATCTCAGCTTAAGTGGGTTATCATTTGCAAGTTAAAAGGAAATTAAATGCAGTAATATGATTAACAGCAAGAAGTATGTGATAAACAGTACCCTCCTTACTCCCAAATTCTGTGGTTTGGAGGAAATGGATAGGAATAAGTTTGTCTTTGCTGTCAACAAATATCCCATGAATCTGATCAATGGAAGATTGTTGACCAACAAAAAGAAGTCATTCTCATAATAGCCGATTGTGCTATGGAATTCTCTGCACCAATATCCCATGGGGCTGATAACAAGTTTAACTTTAAAATTAGGTTAGACAAAACCTTAATGAGTTCAGATTATTTCTGATCTTGGGGACATTTGCTGAAGAACCTAAACAATAAAACGCTTTAGATTTATGTCTCTTTGGCTAGTGTGGGAAAGAAAGTTTGAATGAGATGGGCCTTTGGTGTGATTCATTAAGGCTTTTAGCCTATACAAACTACAGGAATGCTGTGCTGGCTTATACAAGCACAATGAAAATTCAGAGTGTTGAGATTGGCAGGATTTAAATATATTAAGCATTTGTCTGCTCAGATGTGGTTAGAGTTACAAAACTAAGTGGTTCTAATCCTTGCCATTTTAAGTAAACACTTTATTTTGTTGTCAACCTATATATTTTTAGATCAACTTAAGAAGTCTCAAAACTGCAGTGATGCTTTTTGTACTTGAGAGACAAAATTCACAAAACAGAAATTATATTGAATCATAACCTTCAGTCCTCAAAACAGCTTACATTAGTATCCTCTGACTGCACTTCACTAGATTTATTCAACATTTTTATTCTAACTTTATAAGTAAAATAAGCACAAACAATCAAAATTGAGATGGTTAGGATTTTGGTAAGGTGTGTACATGGCTGGGAGAAAGAGAAGAAGCTTGTCTTACCATCTCATGTTCTTTTTTTTTGAGTATGTGATTTTCACGCAAAGCTTCAATTTCCATTTCCAGGTCAGTTATTATGATGGTCATATTGTCTAGCTCCTTACGGATGTTTTCAACATCATTTTGCACATTTTGCCGGAGAGCTTTTTCAGCTTCATATCTTAACCAAAGAGAAAAGTAATATAATTGAATGAAAGAGACAACAATTCCATCTTGGGATGGAACCTACAACTTTTAGAACTATGCTTGCTAATGCTTACTATTTCTGTCTCCAAAGCATGTATCTTCCACCATTTACAAATATATTGACATTCATATTTCACTGAATTTCGAAGAATAATTTTCATTTATTGAAAAGTACAGTTATGGAGAAGTTTGCTAATCACATTTGAACACTCTGCTCTGCTGTTTTTCAGAAAGCAAAAGTTTGTCCCAGAGGATTGCTCTCTAATTAATTTGAAATGCAAATTTAATAGACAAGTTGGTGAATAAATGGAGGTGAGAAGGTTGGCTGTATTATTTTATTTTGGACATTAGAAGAATAATGATTTCAAAAGTATTGTAAGAGTTGCTTTCCAGACTGATAAGGATTCAGGAGACTGCTATAAATACTTCCTCTCTTATCAGTAAAGATACTAGCCTCCTTCCCAGATGTTAGGAAGGCCGTTAGAAAAAGAAAATCAGAATAATTCCATCTTCACATACATGATGATATACTGGTTCTAAACTGAAAATAGTTCAGTTACACCTCTTTATATCTCAACAGATTGTTGAGAAATTCAGAACTATACTTAGAAAAAAAATCACTTTTCATTGTAGGTAGCTGCCAAAGAACCTGACAAATATTGTGTGTTATGCTATTATAAACTTGTGTGTTATGCTATTATAAACTTCCATTCATATAGAACGTGAAGTACACTTCTCATGACAAATTAATATGATACACTGCAGCAGATGAATATACTGAAAAACACTGCCAGTCAAAATAGATTAGCCTTTGATGACTCTCCAAATGTTTAATATTTGTCATGCAAATAAATTGGGAATTGTGGAAATTATGGCAATAGAGTCCAAAACAACAGGACTACATAAAGTAGAGAAAGGTTCACACAGTGCTGAACTAGAGGAGTCAATGTTTGAGTGAGCATAGGACATAATTTTGTGCTCTTGTAGTTTGATCTGGACAGGTCATCACAGTGTTACCTTGTACAACTTTCATTGCATTTAAATTAACTAAATTGTATTAATGTTAACTATTTGCACACTAAAATTAGCTTGAGAAAAATGTAAGACAAAGGTTGGAGGGTCATTTCTCAAAGATATAACAATAATCCTAAATTTCAGAACCTTCATAGACAGGTAATTGGACTAGATAACTCCAAACTTTCTTCCAAATTTATGTTCACATATATGTGAATTTCATTCTATATATACTGGGTATATATGTACAATAAACAATTCAGTTCAATAACCTATTTATTTGAAGACTGGCCTCACATAGTAAATGTCATTATACATTAACCAAAAGGGCTGTACTTGTATATCAGGACAAGCCAGAAAAAAGAGGACAAAACAGAAACAAAAAGAAAAGGAATGGCATGTTGTGCAATTGTAAGCATGTTTTTAATTGACTTGTTTAAGCATATAGTGTAAATCTAACCTATGGTTGTATGATTCTCAAATATATCATCTTAATAGTGTCAACATGGTTATAATGATGTTTCACCTTAAACAAGCAGTCATTAACTTGTTTTAAGAAAAGAGGAAATGAGAAAAGCAGGCAATTTGTGTTGCCTATATAATTCCTGACATCTCCCCTGGAGTCCAGAAAAGACAGCACAATAGTTCAAAACATCCGTCTTCATCATCTATATATCACTTGCTAGTGAGTAAGAGGCAAAGAGAGAAGCAATTAAGGTACCTCTCAAACCAATATTTTGTTCCAGAGCAGCATAGTTGCTGGCCACTAATCTTTTATCTCTTGGAATGTAATGTAATATCAAACAACAGATGGTATAACTTATAATGTCCATTGTGATTTTAATCAGATTCAATCTCTTGAAGCATAAATTAATCTTTTTAGTCATATTTGGATTGTTAAGAATTTTTGTCTGCATCTGCTGCCAAGAATAGACGAGAAGCTCAAGAAAAGACTTACTTGAGCCTGAAATCCTCTGTTGCCATTTTGGCATTGTCAATCTGTAGAACAAGGCCTGCATTGGTAACCCGTCCAGTCTCAATCTGTAAATGACAAAATATTAATCTTATTGTAAAGGTAGACTAAAAGTTTCATGATTTGTTGTTTTGGTAGGCTAAGAAAACTATAGTTTCTTTTTCACCTCTGGAATGCATTTGTGGGTTTATTTAGTCACTGAATTAGCCAAGTCCTTGATTTTGCAAAATACACTGAACCAAAGTATAACCAAATCAGCTGGATGTGCCAAACATGGCTAGCCGTAAAATAAACATGTTAAAATTAATTAAATTGCACATATTGCCAATATAGTCATTAGGTGCACATAACCATATCAATATTAAACTACAATCAATATTTTCTCAATTTTCTATTAAAATGGAAAAAAATGAGAAATGTTTACAAGGAAATATTACTTGCTTAGAGTTTGAAACTCAAAATGCAAAGCTGGGATGTATTAGCTTTTCAGCACCTCTTGTTTTGCTTTTGGTTGGCTTCAGATGTGAATGTTCTTCTTCCAGCTGTCAAATATTCATTATAATTTCAAGGTGAACATGTTAATTACAATTGCATAATATTATATTCCACCTTAAGAACAGATGAAAGAAAGCTTGCAAGCAACAGCTAATGTTCGGTTGTGATTGGAATGTGATGAACATGAAGAAATTAAGAATGTTCATGTTTTATGAATACTTCTCCCTAATAGATACTTTATTCATTTCAACTTTTCTAGCATGTGATGCATATATGCTTTTCAATAATCTATTTTTCCACTGGAGAGCTTTGTCACAAAATTCAGTAAAGCACAAATAAGAAAGCATAACTATACATATTCCAATAATTGATTGTAATAGGGATACAATATTTCAAATATGTTCACACTTGTGTACTGATTTGTGAAACACATGCTGGATAAATTCATATTAAAATGGAAATTGATACAAGATTTGAGAAGGATTTGTGAAGGATCAAAAGATGGAGAACTCTAGGCCTGCTGATGAGAAGAGATATAAGGAAAAAATTACTCTTCTAATTTTACTCAAGCCATAATCCTGAAAGCAATAGCAGTAGCCAAGAGGAGTATTGGAAAGCAGGTGAAACACTGAGCACTGGGATAGCAGTGGCAGCAATGTTAGAGGCATCTGCAGTTGGGTTGGAGTACCAAAATGGGGCATAAGCATTGCTGTCACAATATAAGCTGCAATCCTCTTACTACATGCATTGTGATGCTGTAAGTAACTATGAAAGGGTTGTGATATTTTGATTAAAAAAACCCCATAATATCTTGTCTCAAATTTACCTATAGCAAAATTCCTGACTATCAGTAGTCTGTGAGTGCTAAAATAATAATGAAAATGAAAAAAATATTTTTAAATGACCTAAAGGAGATAATCAGAAAATTTATTAGTTTTAAAGTTCAATATATTGCAAGATTTTAGCTGCGGGCATAAACATTTCATAACATTTAATTGTCTGCTGAGATTGTAGTCCTATGAATCTCTTTAAAAAAAAAAGTGTTAAAATTTATTTTTAAAATCCTGTGAATGTTTCCTGGCAGAATAGCAAATGTGACACACTTACAGGGGCTGTATTAGAAACCCCTGCATTATAAAGATTCTCAAAGGCTTTCAATAATTATATATTATGTCTACAAAAGGAAAAGCTGGAATTTCTAGTTATATAAATTATGGGTAAGAATAGAAGTTACCCTTTACTGAAAGCATTCTCAAAAGACAATAGATTTTAAAGAATCTACTGGAAATACATTCACCAAACAAGAAAGATACTTTTTTAGATAGGCAAGATACTCCTCAATATAGGTGTATATAGTGATTAATATTGGTTCAGAAATGAGGTTAGTAATATTTAATTCAAAACCTGATATACTATGAATAAAAAGAGGTAGCAACTGTAACCTTAAAATCTATATTTTTTGGATCCCAGGTTGAAGAAACATCTTTTTTTTTTAACTTAGGCTTCTGATAGGATGACATATAGCAAATCATACTAGATGAAATTCCTTAACCTAAATATCAAGTTCTTATGTTTGCTGCACTGACATACATATGAATGGTCTTAAAGGCTCGCTTCAGCTGTTTATCTTTTTCTCATCCTAATACCATACATATTGCTACAACAACAACAAAAACTGCTTAGGAAATATTTCCAGTGGAATTAAACAAAGCCAAGGATTTCAGAGGTCTTTCCTCTTGCTCTTATCCTTCCGTTGACTGACAGGGTCATTAACCATTTTGACCTGGAGAAACTTCTTTCAGATACCCAGATGGAAACAAAACTCATCATGAATCATGTCAAAAGGAAATTGGGTGGTGTTATGATTATGGGTGGTTTAGAGTGATGTTGAGGCAATATCTTGCCAAACACCTATTATGTAAATCCTCTGTGATGTGCCAGAGGAAGCTGAAAATCCTTTCAAGAGTATATTGAAAGGTGAATATCTTCTTAAGCCAAAATGACTCATTAACATGGAAATCTTGATTCACAGAACTCTGTCCCGGATGAATTAAATTCCTTACTTCCATTAGTGTGTTTGTGATGGACTGTTTATCCATTAATTCAGATTCCCTTCCCAGAATCACAGTAGAAGAAGGTACTGTACATTGTCATATCACAGATTCTATCCACAACACTACCAAACACAAATATGCTAATATTTGAAAAGGTGGATGTGCAATTGTTTCTTGCACCTGTCATATCAGCAGATGTAAGACTAAGTGTAGACTATAGGCCCAGAAATAGGCCAAGTCTTGGGTGTATCAAATTTTCTAGAATTGTTTCTTAGTATTTCCTCCAGGAAATTCACTGTGTAGCAAACAGGAAGGGTCTATATCAGGGGTGGGATTCTACAGGTTCGCACCTATTCATTAGAACCGGTTGTTAGAAGAAATTACTAGCCTAATCCTGTAAGGAAGGCAGGAAGGAAACATTCTGGTGTTGCTTACCGAAACTGCCTGTTAACCTTTATTACATTCTTGGCAGGACTAGACTTCCTGTCTCAAGAACTTCTCTGGAGGTTTTTTCCTTCCTTTGCTGGTACTCTGCTTGTGTGGAGTGACCATTCAAAGTTACAATGGCACTGAAAAAAGTGACTTATGACCATTTTTCACACTTATGACTATTGCAGCATCACCACAGTCACGAGAGGCCAGGCAAGGAGATGCATGCCTCGATGTGAGAGATGTTGAGTTGGCCATGCCCAACTAGTCACATGACCACCAAGCCACGCTCACCAACTAAACCTTGCCCACAGAACTGGTTGTTAAAAAAAATTGAATCCCACCCCTGGTCTATATTGACATTCAGTCAAGGAAAGACAGAAACTATCCTATTTAAGTAATATGATTAAGTTTATGATGAAACAAAAAATGAGTTTTTACAGCTAGGATGTCCAGAGCATATATTTACTGGCTCATGACCAAAAGAGTGGTAGGAATGGAATAAAGGCAAATTAATTTTTGAAAACTTCTGCATCATGTGCATTCAGTTTGGTTTGCAGGGGTGTATAGAAGCCACAAAGCACATCTACATAATGAATGAATGAATTGATTGATAACTGCATTATTAATTATTTATGGACCATCCAGTCATTTTTCACTCTTAGCAATCATATAGATTCTTATGACAGGCCTATTATACTATTGCCACTGAAGCTTATTCTGTGCACCTTGTTGCTGGTCATACCTTTCCCTTCCACTACAGAAAAATTGTCATCATTTATAGTTATGTGACTTATTATCTTGCATCTACTTTCATTGTTAGATGAAGTGCTCTCTGGCCAGTGATAAAATGCATCACTGGCCAGAGAGCACTCCATCTAACAAAAAGTAGATGGGTCAAAACCATAGTCATTTGAAGGCAAAATAAAAGACTAAGCAAGGAATGTCAAGAAAGGGAGATTTACAGCTGGAAATGTTTTTTTTTCCTTGGTTCTGGTCCTTGACACTGGATGCATTTTCTATGTCCTGAAAATTATTCTAGGGTTTCCCCAACTTGAAGCTGAAATAATTTCCTGCCCTCTTCAATATTAAGCAACCTTTTTGAATCAATGGACATGGTGAAAAATTTAGATGAGATTGCAGGCATTCTCATTAAATGAGTGCCAAGATGGGTATAGCTATTCAAAAACTTTCATTTATCAGACAGTAAAGAATTGTTTTCCACTATCCTCACTAGCTTCCTGCCCCCATAGTCTTGACATTTTTCTGTACTTTTCCAAATAAAACAATGAGTTGCTTTAATTTTATGGATGTCTATGGGACCAATTGGAAACCCAAGGGATTTTTTTTAAATTATGCTGATCTAATTATGGCTTGGTAATGTTGCCACAAAAGATACAGTGGAACATTGGGTCACAAATGCTCCTGTTTGCGACCAAATCGGGTGGCAAACTAAAAATCCACCCAATTTTTGAATCAGGTCACGATTCAAAAATCAGGTGGCGAACAAAATCAGCAGAGAAAAATTCACTTTCAGCACCATTTTTTTTTTTACTGTGCACATGCACAGTCAATCATGCTTCCGGACATGACCAAATCAGGTCGCAACCGGAATCCAGGAATGGATTATGGTCATGACCTGAGGTTCCACTGTATCTACATTGTCTTGGTATGTATGGGCACTATTTTTCCTATCCAGTTCTAATCCCATCACATTAAAAAAAAAAGATAAGGGAATATCATTATGTAGTTGGAACCATTTAGTCCTGGATGCAATGTTTCTGAAATTCATGTTTCAAAATGTTTTCAAATGACTTCTCTTTTGCCTTTCTACTCCTCATTACTAAACTGCAAATTTATGCAAAGACCAACTCATCAGACACAATAAAGTGAAGTTAAAAGTCATTATTCAAATTAATTATAGAGATTATTACCTAGCTGAAGAAAGTTTTGCTACAAATCTTATTAGACATGAGCTTGGATATATGAGAGGATATAAAGAGTTATATATGTTCCCTATCATTTTTTGTAAGAACAAGGACTCCTTTTTAATTATAAGGATGTCAGACAGTTGCAGGAAAAGTCCCTGTATGTGATTGCTATAATTAGACTCCATTTGCCTCTCAAATATTCATTTTGGGAATGTCATTTTCCTTTGTTAAGAAAGGCATTTGAAAACATTTTCAAAAATAATTTTCTTGTGATCAGTTGTTATAATTTGCTTAGTTCCGTGTAACAAAAATATTAAGAACAAAGTATACAGCACATTAAAAAAATTGCCCCCTTCCAAACTATATTCTTGTCTATCCACAATCTCTGCAAAGTCTGATAAGATTTTTCAAAACTTCTGTGATGCAGGAATAAACAGATCTGTCAGTGTCAGTTTTGCTAAGGTTCTCGTTTCTTTGGCATACAGTTCATGTCCACATACGTTATGGTTGGTTTTACCAAAATGTGCAAGATAATTTGTATGTGTTTTCATGTGCTCCCAAGATACAAATTTCATATCCTTTGTTTTTTTTTTAATGTTGCAAGCATTGCATTTTTGTACTGAATTCTTCCAATTATTTTAGATCCCGGAAGCATGAATGATGTTGGTGGGTATGGCAGTAATCCAACCTCATTTTTTCTTCTTGCCTAATGCCAAGTGAATTAAATGGTATATGAAAGTCCTCACACCTTAAACACTTCATTTTAGCCATGTTTTTAAAAACAGTTTCACATTACAAAGAAGCAGTGTGTTGAGAAGAACAAACACATCATATATATGCATATAAAAACAGAGACAGAAGTAATGGCAGATGAATGACTACTTAAAAAAAGAAAAAGGATATCCCAGAACCAGTGAATAAGGAGAAGCAATAATAACATGGATGAATAATAATGGTAATGCTTTGACTCTTATTATCGAATCACAGAAGAAGTGATTCATTTTTATTAATAGAATACCATTCAAATTAGGTTGGCGCTCATTTGATGAAATGTCTTCCCATCTCTAACATCCCTAATATAGATAACTATTGGACTTGAGCTTGGAGATAAATGAAGATACAACAGCTAACAATAGTTAGCAGCTCTGACAATTTCACTCTGGCATTTAGTTTCCAGTGAAGAAGGATTTTTTTAAAAAATAGAGGAACATTTAGTTTTGAAGTATGCAGCAATTTGTTTCAGATGTAAGTTTGTGCTACATTCAGAACAAGTGGTAAGAAGAGTGCAAAGAAATAAACAAACTGAGGCAAAGGAAGGGAGAGAGTGTTACAAAGAGAGAGTTAAAAACGCAGCCATGAAAAAACGATCTGTTCTTTTTTTACCGGCATTGCAACATCTTTGGGCCAAAGACAAGATGGACCTTCTGCTCAGAACTGCAGCTATATCTTCAGTCAACTATAGTGATGGACTAAGATTTCCCTCTTCACCAAAAAATTACTAATTAGTTCAGGGGTGCAAAGCATCAACACTACTTCTCTGCCCTCCAACCATCATCTGCATTTCCTGTTCACTCTGGCATCTGACACCTGATGCAGCTAATAATTATGCCTGCCTTGTGGTGGCGAGACCTGTAAAACAATGCTCAACTTTCCAGTGATGATTTAAAGAATCAAATTTTTTTCTGTGTTTTCTCAACACAGCTTGCTAATATAATGAATTGAGCAAGATAATTTCCAGTGCAATACATTTCATCCACAGGAATGCTTTTTAATTTTCCTGGAATGTTTCACTGCAGTTTATCATACAGGTTGTTTGCTCAAGACTCTATTCAGGCATTGTGTGTATTTGAATATGGCTAATACGGATGTCGCTGAATGTATGTATTCCATCACAGTTTTCACAAACACAGTGAAGAGTGAGTGAAGAGATCTGCGGTGGGCTTCTACTTGTATTATGAATAAGCAAAAGACAGGAAGTGAAGTGTGTCCTATGTCCTCAGCCATAAAAGCCCTACAGCCTCACCTGCCTTTGCCTCTAATCAATAAATCAGCATAATTAGCTGACCAGTAGAAAACAAATCATTACTTATGGTTTATGTTGTTCAAAATCATTGGATTCTTGCAATGGGAAACAAGCAATAGTCAAAGAGAGGGTTATGGGTCTTTCCCATAATCTCAGAGAATCTGCTTCAGATCACTAATTTGGGAAATGGTCCGTCTTTCTTTTTTAGTCTTATTTAAAGTCTTATTGGTCTTATTTAAAACTAGTCTTATTTATTTCTTACTAGTCTTATTTAAAACTACTAGAAGGGAATGGGATTTTAAAAAAATCAATGGATGAATACATACTGAGATTTCATTGTCCCTGACCTTGTTAACCTTCAAAAAGACTTCGAAGATCCAAATGTCCCCTCTATTGGGAAATTAGATTGGCTCATCTTTGAGTGTAGGTGCTTATGCTTCTAGTGCAGAAGAAGAAAACACTTCATTGATTTAGTCAATCAACTGTATCACAAATATAAAACTGGTATAAAAATGCAAATAGATAACAAAGGAAACAAAATTTCATGGCCTTATTCAGTGATTTACTTTTATTAATTGACTTTTTTTCTCATTGTTGGATATTTTGACTTGGTTTATGGTGGTATGTTGCCTGGAGTTTCAAGTTTATGAACTGGACAAATGTGTACATCATTCATTAAAACATCTGTGTATGTGTGTGTATATGCATTTGCATGTACGTGTGTGTGTGCATATTTATTTTCATTAAAAAAAGCTTTTTAAACTCTGTGTAACTTCTGTTTTAATATTTTTTGGCTCTTTACTTCTTTATTGTTTGTATTTCACCTTACTTACATTGTTCTAGGATCATAAAATTTGACTGACTGCATACCTGCATGTCTACATTTACACTCTCTGACCTATTAACTGATCAGTATCAGGGGCCAAACCATGTGCCTAGCCAGCCCTAACCTAAATACAAGCAAAACTCTCTACATAATGGAACTCCACTCTATCAGTGTTCCTGATTATACACTTAGCACGATCTTGATTCTATCTCTCTGTTAATGCAGCTTAGACTGCATTGGCTTTTTTGGCAGCTGGATCTTATTTAAATGAATAAGGAATAACAATGAAAATAAACCCACCTGAGGTTTCCTCCAGTGTATATTGGGGATAAGGGAGCACAGGCAATCTGCATGGCTTCATTCCTTGTATGTGTTTTCAGAATCCTTCTATCTAGTATAACATATCTAAAGGACAGTGGCTGTTCCATTAACTCATTTTAACAAGGATTTAGAATTCATTCATAAATCTAATCTCAATATTTGTAAAGGAAGTCTATTCTGTAAACCATGATACGAATAGGTCACCTCAGGATTATGTTTTTAAAATAGGTACATTCTGTATCAATAACTTAAAGGAAAAAATAGTAATATTACCTTCTATTTAAAATTCAGCAAATATTTTGAGTGCACTAAGAATGCAAATGTTTTTTCTTTCTTTGCTCCCATTGCTATTTTTAGAAAAGGTATATAAAACTAAATGCTGCAATTAAATACTAGAAAAAAATAAATATGAATGTGCTTTTCAGATTGCTGTCCCAGAGTCTAACATCTACATGTAGAACATTATATGAAAAGGTAAACATTTCTGCTCTCAGGAAAAATAATTAGATGTATAGATTTCAGTCTGTGCTTACACTTTAAAAAAATTATATTAAGACTTCTCCAGCTTTTGCTCTTCTCTGAATCCACATTTTTGGTGTGTGCAATATTTTATTTTATTGACATCACTTCAGCAAAATAACCCTTGGTTGTATATTCCAGCGGTTTTTAATTCAGCCAGCTGGGTTGAATCAATCCTTTGGAGAAGAAAATAGAACAGTTGGCATTTCTGCTGACTTACCCGCTCATGCATGTCTGAGATGTTGTGCTCGTAATCCTTGAAGTCTCGCTGGGTGCCATGAGATCTCTTCTGGTGCCATTCCCGGATGCAGCCCTCCAGCTGTGTGTTGGCTTCCTCCAAAGACCGTACTTTTTCTAAGTAGGAAGCCAAGCGGTCATTCAGCTCCTGCATGGTCCGCTTTTCGTTCCCACCCATGAAGAGGTTTCCCTGACTCCCACTGAAGGCTCCCCAGCTTGTCTCAGCAGGAGAAGCCAGCCAGATAGGGCTTCCAAAGGACAGAGGCATGGGAAGACTGCTGCTTACTCCATGGAAATTGGAAGTTCTGTAGCAATCCCCTATAGGCTGCAGGAGGCATCCTGAGGGTCCTCCAAGGTAGCCAGAGGAAAGGTGGTAGAAGCCATGGCCAGAATTCATCCTGATGTCAAGTTGAGACCTGGTTGTACTACCAGCACTTCTGTCTTTTTCCCTCTCTCTTTTTGACTCACCGGCACTGCCTGAGAAATGTCTCAACCTTCCTGAAGCACTTATAAAGCCTTTCCCTGTGGGAGTTTCCTCATTAAGTGACTATGCCAACAAGGATTGTGTCATCACCAGCTATGTTGTTTCCTCTTGGTCAATTCTGAAAAGCCTGATTAGCCAGCAAATACAATTGTTGTCATTCTTTGAAAAAGGGACCTAGTAAAAGCTTTCTTTTTTTCTTTCTCTCTCTCTCTTGCCTCTTTTTTCTTCTTCTACTTCTTTCTCTGGCATTTTATCAGCAAGGTGTGGCCAGTGAAGGGAGGGGTATGGTGTAGAACCTAAACAATCCAGCCTCTGCTTCAGGTTTCTTTAAATCACAAGAAAAACAAAAATTACATGATCCTGAAAAGCATTAGTTTTCCTGGTGCCATGCTTTAAGGGACAAAGTTTTTAAACAGCTGCATTTTACAAGATTTCTCACAGCCCCTCAAAGCACCATCTGTATTAATCAAATTATTATGTAAACACTTACAAGAATAGGCAACTATATAATAAATCTTTAATTGACACATGCACATTCTCTACAGAAGTCTACAAAATTATCCTCTTGATTTATTTGTCTGCATACAATAGGGCCAATTCCAAGTCAGATAAATCAGTGAATACATTGATAGAGTTTTCCCCTCAGTTGGCATTTCCTGCCAGTACTTACTGACAGCAAAAGGAGACATTTTAATTTCTTCCAGAGTAATGTTATAGCCAGGTTTACACAACACGCTACCAAGATGCAATTGCTGCGTCCACATTGCATTTTTTTTTTAAATCAGTTAACAATATTATGGCTTGACAGGATGGTTCATTCAATATACAGAAATTCAATATACCGAAATAATGGCTGGCATGTCACATCAGGATGTACTACAAGGTCCAATGTAGCCTGTTGCCCATGTTGAATGAATCCTTTAAAAGATAAGTTACACTTTCTTCCATTTTCATCCATTGCTTTTCTTTGTAGGCTAATTCTTTTAGACTTCAGTCTTAAGTGCGAGGATTGCCACATCAGAAATATTTTGTTAGTTTGGAGATAAGAATAGTTTTAAAAATATTTTTAAAGTGAAGTAGCTGTAAATGACATCTTTCTCACTATATGTTGGCTGAGACAAACAAATTAACTAACCAACCAGGCATGGCAATGATCATCACTATGTACAATATGCTGCATATAAAATTATTAACAAGATAGATATAGATAGATAGATAGATAGATAGATAGATAGATAGATAGATAGATAGATAGATAGATAGATAGTAGATAGATAGATAGATCAGAATCTAACATCATCTGCAAGTTTTTTTTCCTCTTAAGCATAGCTTTCCATGATATGGCACCCTCCAAATATATTGGACTGCAACTCCCATCATCCTTAATATGCATAGCTATCTGGAGAGATCCAGGCTAACAGGAAGGTGCTCTAATATAATCAAAACTCAGAATCTAGGAATGGAATTAACTACACAGCCAAAAAAAGCTATGTACAGGTAGTCCTCAACTTTTAGTGACTGTTCAAAGTTACAGTGGCACTGAAAAAAGTGACACTTTTATGACCATTTTTCACTTTTGCAGCATCTCTGGTGACATGTTCAAAATTCAAATGTGTGGCAACTGACACATATTTATGACTGATTGCAGTGTCCTGGAATTATGGGATCATATTTTGCGACCTTCCGACAAGCAAAGTCAATGGGGAAGCCAGATTTACTTAACAACTGTGTCACTAACATAACAACTGCAATGATTCACTTAACAGCTGTGACAAGAAAGGTTGTAACATAGGGTAAAATTCACAACACATGTCTTGCTTAGCAACATACATTTTGGGCTCAGTTATTGTAAGTTGAGGACTATCTGTAGTTAATTTCATTCTCAGGGTCAAACGAACTGTAAGGTTGAAGCTCTTGGAGCTCATAGCAGACAGTTTTGATTAGGGACACTAATGTGGGAGTGTTCCTACCACTGATAAAGATTACCCACAACCCATTATAAATCATGTAAGGAGAATTTTACCTCCCTACTCTGGATATTTCCTTGCTACAATTTACAGAAAACTGGTACAGCTAGAATTTCTTTATACCTAAGTATGAATTCCAACTCAATAACATTTAAAAGTGTTGGACTACAATTCCCATTATTATTTCTCCTGGATTTTTTTTTTTAATTTAACATATCAGTTGGTAATTTCTCCCAATTTAGCTTGTCAGCTTGGAAAGAACACTAAAATAAACGTTGTGGTCCTCTTCTCAAAATATTTTCTGAGGAAGTTTATAAATACTCAGCTGATTATAAATTCATCTTAATGTAGTTGCACCCAGGATATGCAAGCATGCATAAGGAAGCATATGTAGCGGGGGAATAACAGCAAATACACTGATATTGGGCCAGTAAATAAAAACACAGGACAACTGTAGCATCTGCAGATACTTTTCTGTGATGGCAAAACATTGAAGCTTTAATTCCAGAATCTTCTCTATGATGTTTTCTTCCTGTGCTTTCAAGTATAAGATCCCTGTAATTTTACTTTCGAGTTTTTTTCTTTTTGGAAGTGTGATAGAGTCACAACAATAACTTGAAGAAAAATCCCCTGTGGTTTCTAATTATAGAACATGAGAATGGCAGGCTGTGTAGCACCTTGTCTAAACAAATTCTAACTTGTCTTGTCTCATGCTTACAACTGGTCTGTGTTATTGAGAAAGATTGTCAAAATTGTTGATTCTCATGCCATTTTTAGCTAGTCAGTCCCATCAAATTATGGCCTTGACAAATCTGTTTAGTACAGTAGTAGGATCTAATTGCCAATTAGTGATTTCTATAGAGGAAATGTAGCCCAAATCCTTTTTTGGCTTGAGCACAATTGGGCAACTCGCCTTTCACACCTGTCTGGCAAATTAAATGTAGTTAGTTGTTGAGGGGACTGTGTGAAAAGTATCTTACAGAATTCACTACTCACTGTCCGACTCTCTTAGGAAGTTTCTGGTGTTGTCAAGGTATGCTAGAATTAGGGCTCTTTGGGCACAACATATTTCCCTGATATTGAGAGACCTGCATTCTCTTAAAGGAAATTATTGTGTTGGTGGCTTACTGATTCTTCTGATGTCTATTGCCATAGTTGTTTCTTCCGTAGTCAACTTTTGCTTGGACAGCAAAAAGAAGAAAATCTCAGACAGAATTCTGAGTCAGCAACAAGATCAGGAAGGAAAAAAGGGGGAAGGGAAAAAGGGGTTCAGAGAGTCTCTCATTACCTTGCTTCGTAAATTCTCTTGAAATAATCCCTTCTTTCTGCCAAATTGGAGTCTGCTCACTTTTACAGTTTAATGAGCCTGGGAATGCTGAACTGTTACTTTTTAACATTTACTCTCTCCCCTCCTTCCTCCCTAGCATTTGTGTAGCATAGAGCTTATCCTTTTAAGATGGTAGACCTTTTGTGTTTTCAGTTTGTCCTCTTTACCCTCTTTTCTTTCTCCTAGTCTTGCTTTGTAATAAAGAAGAAAAGCTCCCACAGAGTCTCTACAAGTCTCTTCTATCTCACTAGAATCCTTGGCCCCACTTATTCACCTGCTCTGCCACTTGCATCCAGCCCATATAATCTGTTTCCCTTGCTGATGACTCCAGGCACATTCAAGGGAATCAACAGTTCCAGACCACTTGCCCACCAGGGGTTCAATAAAAGTTTCTAGGATCTCTTAGCCTGTTGTCATGATTATTACATTGATCAATAAAGTCTGTGGACTTCAAATATCACTTATGCCAGCCTAGACTGATTTCAAAATCCCCGTTTGCTCTGTACATTTTGTGTGGGTCATGTGCATGTTTATGCTCATTATTCTCTTTTCAGAGTAGGTAGCTCCATAATCAGAAGTTATCTTCATGTTTTCTATGATATTCCTTGAAGAAATCACTTAAATGCCTCTTGCGGTCAATAAACAGTTCTTCTTATTGGAAGAGGCTGTTATAGGAGTCCTAACTGGGCCTGAGGTTGGAGCATTCCATATTGCTGGTGTTTTTGTGTCTCATGCTCCTCAGATGTAGTCACAGAATGAGCCACCATCCTCCTCCTGTACCTATGACAAGATCGGCCTCCTTTCTCTGCCCAAAGATGCCACCCATGTCACCTTATTGCTTGCCTGTATATTTGCCTCAATCCATGGTTGCTGTGGGAGTGGTTTTTAAAAGGCTTGATTAGTCTCTGTGCAGGTGAATGGAAAATTGTATTTAGAAACCTCTGGTAAACAGTGGTATGGTGCTATGGAGACTTGGTGTTGTTAGAAAAGAACTGAGCCCAGAAGTCAGGAGGCAAGCCGTTCATGGGAGTTCCTTGCCCTTGAGCCATGCAGCACTGAAATTTCTCCAATCGCAAAGCAGAATTTTGTCATTGAGATGTTAGTGATCTAACTGGGAGAAAATAAATTCAGCTGCTCAAGGATGACACCAATCCAAGAACAAAGAAGGGTGGCACTGCTATAGGAGCAGTGCCAAAGCCTCGGGTGGAAATGCCCTAATGCACACTTTGGGGCATTGTCTAAAGAACCTTTGATGGATGTGTATTAGGAGATTGTCAGGATTGAGCCATGCTCCTCAAGCATATCAAGCAATCTCCTTTTTGTTCTCAGGACTTTTTAAGGGAAAGTGCCATGCTTTGTTTTTTATATTTTTATTGAAATGGTTAAGTAAATTATTCTCCACATCTTTTGTAAGGATGGGCAACATACACATTTCCTGATGAGATATCCTCCTCAGGATAGTGTGCAAGCTTTCAAAGAGCTTGTCTCCTTCCTTTTCAGACAAGGGTGAGAGAAGGAATTTATGGAAGGGAAGTTTGTGGAATATATGGAAGGGAATGCTTAAATCCAGATTCAGGAGCACTGATGCTTCACCTCTCTTTATTTGCAAGGTAAGTGAGGGATCCCACCTAAAAGCTGAATTAAGAGCCAGCTTGCATGAATGAATGAAAACTCATTCCTTAGTAAACAGTTGTCAAGGAAGTACTACAAATGAATTGGTCAGAGCTTGGTTAATATGATCTATGCTGCTACTAATCCCAAAGCATGAAACTTCGTCATCTGTATAAGGTATGTTTTTGAATAGGCAGCTAAACTTAGTAAGCATGACCGTATAAGGTAGCGGTACTGAGATGGTAGTTTGCCAAGAACCATCCCTGTAACTGTTTATTGCTGTCACCCTTGTGTTTGCATGAGCACCAAGTATCGCATTACAAAAATAGTGTGAATTGAGAATTGGGATATCTGAGGCTATCATTTGATCACAGTGTAAAATATTTCAAATCTTCATTTTGGCTTGCAAGATTCCAATCTTAGATTAGCATTTCCCAATCTGATACTTTTCCAGGTGCATTGACCATAAACTCCCATAGTTCCCAGCAAAAAGAAATATTAATAATGAGTGAGTTCCTCCTCCTTCATTGTAATAGATCAGCATAACATTTCTTAAAAGAAAAGTGGAATTATTCTAATTTTTTTTTTACAAATACCTGACAGAATTTATGTCAATCTCCCTGCTATCTCACAGCACTTAACAACCATGCTGATAGATGAGAATATTTATAGTTTACAGACATTTCATTACCCAGCCAGGTAACATTGTCAGTCCTAGAAGGGAATGGGGTTTGCTCTTTTTTATATATATTGATTATAAACTAGCCACAAGTCTATACAACAACCAAGCTCAGAGGGCAGCAGGGACCCCATACTTAACAACCACGCCTAACCTGCATTTCTAAGAATTGGCATATAGAAAGAAAGCTATTCTTGAGGAAACAATTTTCCCCTAAGTCTTCCTGTCTGTTTTACTACATGTTTTTTTCAGAACATGTAGATTCAGTTTGATATTAAAAAAAAAAGACAAGTTCCATGTAGAGAAGCAGTTAGCATATCACAATAAATACAGTATCTGACAACCCTTTCTGTCTCTGTGGTTCTGAATTAGTGGCTGGATGCAATGAGATTCTGCTATGATAGTCCAGCATCTAGTATTTCATTTTGGCATTGATAATATGATGCCCATATGATGTTTTAAGAGCAGGTGGTAGGTTATCTCCATTGTTCTAGTGACAGTGTCTAGTCTCAAAACACACATTTAGCAGGGAGCAAATTGGTGAGATTGGTCCTTGCCACCCACTCAAACCCTGGAGGTCCCT